AAAAGCTGTGTATAAAGACCACCTGCCTATAGTGACCACGTTTAGGCAGTCTCAAGACATAACAGAATAGAAAGCTGTGTATAAAGACCACCTGCCTATAGTGACCACTTTTAGGCAGTCTCAAGACATAACAGAATAGAAAGCTATGTATAAAGACTATGTGACCACCCTATCAGCAATAATTTCGCTGATTTGCCTTTGTTTAGAGACAAAAATAATATTAGCATACAGTTTTTAAAACAATTATTAATTTCCTCAAGCCAAACTTTTTTTAATTTTGATCAACCCAAATAAAATGTGTTTTTGTTGCAAGAGTACCATCTCGTTATTTTCTGTACAAATATTAAGTCAGATGAATGAGATGGCAATCCATAAAAAAAATAATCCAACCTCCATATAAAGACCGCCTGTCTATAAAGACCATTTTGATGAAGTTTCTTAGCTTGTCACTATACACAGATTTGATAGTACATGCAATAATATTCACATAATAACACATCTTACTTGGAATGTGGCACTAGGAGAGTTTCAGCAAAGTCAACAAGGTAACATCTGGAACATAAAATATAAATCACTTCATTACAATATGAATCACTGACTACCAATATTTACTTACTTAAGTACAGTAGAACGTCGATTATCCGGAAGTCGATTATCCGAAATGTTCGGTTATCCGAACCTACTGTGTGTCCCCTAAAGTTTGTATGCATGTCTGGCCGTGTTCCGTATAATAAAAAAGTCAACTGTGAACAATAAATACTACAGTCGTCTTGTGTGATTTCCTAGTGCAACACTTTCAATAAAGCTATTATCAACATGTAATCCGACGTCTTTCACGTGTACGTTCATTGTTTACAGTGTCTGCGCAAACAATGACACGAATTACATGTACTGTATCCAATAATTTCCTAAATTCAAACAAGCCTATTATGCAACACCAGTGTTCCGCTGTAAATAACAAATGTCCTAAAAACACAAACTTCATCAAATGTCTTCTCCACTGTTTACAGTCAGATCCTTAACTTTACCAAGCTGTAAGTTACCGCAGTTCGGATGAGTTTCCCGGGAAAATTGTACGGGGTTCCGCTGCCGTCAAAGAAACGCGGCCATGAGCCAATCCCATGTTTTTTTCGATTTTTAATTTTAATGTCCATTATCAGAAGTCACATCCCCTTCGGAATAAAAAAAGAAAGAAAATAACTTCTGGGATGTCTTGCCACAGAAGCGACGCCAGTTTAATAGTGCAGTGAAAAAGAGAGACGAAACGACAACCCCTTGGTGAGCCTCTTTGATGGTTTATCAGCAGACAATGGCAACCAATGACCATAGTCGGCGGGCCGTTTGATGGTTTCACAGCGTCGAGTGTTTATGTCCGGTGATCACAGTAGCCAACTTGGATTTTACAACAATTTATTATGTCAATCGTTCTAGGTGTTAAAAATAAAATCGGGACATCTTGTAGCAGTTTACCATTCGAAAATCCACGAGCAATCTGGTAACATCGAGCAGATCTGTACACAGCGAATACGAAGCGACCTTTCACCTGTACACTTTATCAGCGTCTTTTATCTAGCGTTGACATGGCTACCCCAGTGAAACGCAAACGCTGTGTGCTTGATTTGGACGGAAGGCGTCAATTATAAATCGACTAGAACGTGGCGAAACCGCAAGCAATCTATCTATTGAGTAATGTGTTGGTAAATCGTCGATATCCTATATCAAGGCAAAACAAAAGCTGCTGGATTTTTTCAGCAAAATGGATTCAAGTGCAGGACTGAAACGAAAGATAATGAAAACAGCCAATGACGATCGTTTAGAGAAATCCGTCTTCACTTGGTTTCAGGGCTTGGTTTTCCCAAGAAAGAAACAAAGGAACTTTATTATCGCTACATTTTACGGACATTTTGAAACATTTTTTAACATTCCAGCGTGCAACATTTTTAATACAATATATTACTGATTAAATAAAAATGTTTTTAATGACGTACTCTACATGTATTATTGTTTGATTTCATTACATTCATGTATGTTAGAATTTGTGTGTACGTGAGCCTGTAAATTCGACCCCAGCCACATAAGATCGCATATCCGAACTGTTTGCATAACCAAACAAAAAGCATGTCCCCCTAACAGTCCGGATAATCAACGTTCTACTGTAGTTCAAGCTTGAACAAAATAACATGTTTGTAGAAAGTTTAATTTTAATGCCACTAGCTGCCAAGATACTTGCAAAACATGCTGAATCTGTTAATCATTCTGAGGTGTGAAGATAAATAATGTTATCACAAGTAGCATAGCAATGGAATCAGCTAACAAGTGGTCACCCAGGGTTAGTGTACAGCAAGAGTATACACATAATTTTATTTCAAAGACTGGAAGACGAACCAGTTGAATGATGTAGCAAATCTGAAAAAGCTACGAAATAATCTGTGAACTAAAACAGACTGTTTTTCATGCAATATTACTTACTTTACTTGTGGCCCCAATGTGGTCTGCATTACACTTAAAACTCGAACACGGTACCATCTTTTATCAGGTCCCATAGCTAAGCACATCTTAGATGAGTAAATTGAAACCAAATAAAATATAGTGTGCAATATCAGATACATTGTAATGTAACATACAAATAGTAGAACAAAGTTACACAAAATCACACACTGTGGATTGGCAATGATGGTCAAAGAAAAAAGGAAAATGAAAATGCAGCACAAGTGGATAATGTCCATATGATTGACACTGTCATAAATTTCAATGAATCAATCATAATTATGGTCAATAATTGACAGTGACTTCATTCACTGAACGTATTGTCTGAGAGGTTTTGCAGAACTTTTGGGGATTCTTTATTTAATACTTTTAAATTTTCACTACTGTTATGTACTAACCTGTCCAGCTTCAGGAAATCTTACATAGACTGTAACCACCTGAGCTGAATTGCAGAAATCATCTATTTCGTTACAAAGCTCCATAAACCGTCTAGCTTCACTAGACATTCCAATACTGGGATTCTCTTTGCCCAAAAACTGGCCTGCATTCACCACCTGTAAAGAAAATGTATACAGCTATCAATGAGACATTTCAAAAATATAGTTATCAGTATTTTTCGCTATAAATACATTCAGACAGCCGGCAGAAGGTAGAAAAGTGTTCAAACAAATATTTTTCCAGCATTTTTTGTTACAAGCAGGCATCTATGCTAAATCACTTCCTTATATAGTAAGGTTTCACGTCAGGGGCGATGCCAAACTTAAAAATCATTTTTTGCCCATTTTTGGCCCCAAAACCTACATTTTCGAGTCAAAATTCAAAAATGGCCAAATTCTTTTAAGATGCATATCAATTTACTTGTCTTGACGAGTAGAGTTCAAAAATATATAGTTTGACCTATTTTTGACCTTGCGTTACGACACTTTTCATGAAGGGTAAAATTCATAAAATCTGTTATAATGGTCCTATTTTGACATTTTTGGTGTCTAATTATATGTTTTCTTGCATGAAAAGGCCAATAAGACAACTTTCATAGACCATTATGCCAGTCTTAGCTATGAAAATACAATTATGTCAGACAAGATGGGTTCTGAAATGGGTATGTCATCATAATTATTCATACATATTAACTGGCCTTGATTACATCAAGAACCTGTATTGTACATACAAATTACTTAATATTGAAGTATATTTTGATGAATATGAAACAAAATATAATAATAATAATAATAACAATTGTATTGATTTTCAGAAAAACATTTTGCCAAACACAGTTGATACACATCAAAGTATACCCATCTTTATCTCTTGCAGCTATTTAAATGGCAGATACCGTACTTCCCCGAGTATAAGCCCCTCCTAGAGTATAAGCCCACCCCTCTGTTTTTAGACATTTGACAAGTTGAAGGCATCCCGAGTATAGGCCCAGGCTGTTTTTACCGAGCGTTGACGACATTTATTAAAATATGCATGTAAAAAGTGTATTTCATTGCTTTATAATAGTGATTGGTACGGTAGTTTGGTTCCTGCTTTGGTGCATGGTCGGCAAACGTATGGAACATGCTTCGCACCTTTTCTATTCTGTTATTGATGAACCCCGATGCTGCAATACTGAAGTAATCCCTATTTCTTTTGAGTAGTAGTTTTAGAAACGCCAAAAATGTGATAGTCAAGTTGTTGGTCATTGAACATCGTTTTACTTTTCTAAATACTCAATAATCGTGTCCATTGAGACCTTCGTGAATGGGATGCGAACGAGCACACTATTCTTCGACATGAGTTGTTGACGACAGTGAAAAGTTTAAATACTTCCTCCGCCCTAAGTTTACCTTTCGAAAATTGCGAATCAACAGCTTTAGGGAAAAAAAATCACCATTTTTGGTCAAAATCAGATCGCATTTTATCATCGCGCTAATTCACTTGTGCATTGTGTTGGAAAAATTACTTCGTCAGTAATCAGAAAACTTCATCTGTACGACACAGCATTTTGATTGGTTAACGAAAGACGTGACCTGTTAGGTCAAAGGAATTTGTTCAGGTCAAATCATGATGAAAAACACTATGGCGGAAATTGCTTTGTATCGAGAGTTTGCGTTCGATCGAAAACAATCCACAACGAAGATAATGATAAAGATCTTGCCTTCGACTGTTTTCCCACGGAACCTACCCATTTTTGCACCGTAAATTCAGACGGTATGTAAACCGTATTGTAATGTTGTGGAAATCAAAAAGACGCTGTGAACGAAAAATGTAATTTGGATAATTTTTCGTGGTTGGGAAGATGGTTACAATTTTAACCCCCCCCCCCCCCCATTTATCTTTTCTGAGGTCGTCCTTGAGTATAGGCCCACCCCCTAATTTTCCCAATTTTACATGTTCAGGCCCCTGGGCTTATACTCGGGGAAGTACGGTATATCATTTTGAGCTAGAAACCTGGTCATGTTTAGTTGCAATGTAATTCGCAACTGTTTGTGGTGAATAAGGCTCATTTTGAGTTTATGACTTAGATTTAATGTCTTTAAGTTGTTTCTTCTTTTACCAATTCATGCATGTTATGCCCACGTAAGGGCAAAAGATTAATAAATGGCTTTCCTACATCCACTGACAATTACAAACTAGCATTCGACCTGTTCAACAAGAGATATGGTCAATCCCTGTGGTCACCACCGGATTATAATGTAGCCAGCCTGAGAAAATACCACGACGAAATTGAATCCACACTATGAGCATTAAAAGGTCTGAGAATATATTAATTCCAGTATTGTTATCAAAACTATAACAAGTTTGAACAAAATCCATCTGTAAACAGAGCAATAAATAAAATGTTCAGGAAAAAATAAGAAACAATGAAAAGGAAAAAAAAAAATTTTACCTTTAATATAGTGATATCTGACAACTGCTGCATTCTGAAGTCTTTAAGATATTTCTAACTATTGTCTCTAAATTACAAACACATTTAGTCTTCTGGAAAGAACTGAAATGAAATAAAATACATTTAACAAAGTTTGAAATTTTGAAAAGAATAGAATACTTGGTAGAGTAGTTGTGGTGTCGTACATATCATATTCAATTAACTTAGTGCCCAGGGATTGGGTGCTTGTCGAAAGCCCCTTTAAAACATTATCAAAATGGCAATTTTTGTTGTTGTTGTTTTGTTGTTTGGTCTGCACCAGAAATAGAAAGGATGAGGAGGGTGCTTGATACGATACATGAGCTAAGATGGGCAAATATGGTAAATGCTTAAAGCGAGTGAGCCAACACCTATGCAAGCACGAGAATTGAGTCCCACGTGTTGATAACAACGCGCGCTAAAAGCGCAAAGACTCATGGGTAGACGCTTGTTTGCAAACAATGACACAATATGGCCGTCTGACGCATGCGCAGATGACAACTCAACCGCTTTAAGCAGGTCAATCTGATTTAATTAACACACTTAGATTCAGCTGATTCAGTTGAGTTTGCTAAACCATGTACCGGTATATTTTTATCTGAAATTTTGACTCTAGAGCGAGGCCACCAGTTGGAACTCTCGGAGGGAGAGGGGATGGCAGAAAAGCATGCAAAAGATTTCAGTCTTTTATTTAACCCAAGCTTGAGCTTATCTTTTTTTTCAATCAAATTTCTTTTTTTCAAAAAAAACAACAGTTTTTATTGTTCTTTTTGCTTTTGTCATACTGATTTGTTTTTTATACACCAAAAACAGCAACAATAACAGCAAACTAGCTGACTGTTTTGTTGTGCAAGTCTCAAGATCGTTATGTGATTGCAACTGGTTGGGTCAACCCAACAACAAAGAAACACAGAATATAAATAGAAGATCACAGTCTGTCCTTTAAGAGATTGTGAAAAATATATATTTCCTGTTAAATTTGTTTCATTTATGAAAGGTCATGCATACAGTGCAAGTTCTATGTAACATGGTTGTTTCTGTGGTCATTCTATTACATTCCTTATACGTTCTACATTTAATGTAGTCAGTGATTCCAGTGTTTTATAAAAAAAGGCTATGTGATCATCTTTGTTGAATCTATATTATTTGAAAGTTACCAGTTTCAAGAATAAAAGAATAAAGTATTTTCTCAACATAAGCATATGTAACACTACTCAGATTTATTCGAACGGCACACCTTTGTAAAAATGGTTTGATCTAAACAGGTCCTATTCTTTGATATTTCTGGCAATGTGTCTGTTTTGGTGTATGAAACACAGCAACACTAATTAAACTGTGTTCAAATGTATTCAAATTTATACACAAGTAGAGGGTATAATGTTGTAGAGTTTGATGCAATTGTGGTACTTGCATTCCTAGATATTACACAACCCAGCCCAGCACAGCTGTGTGCAGGCTATGTTTCAACACAAAACAGTAAAAACCTATACACTTGGGCAGTGCAGTACACTGACAGTACGCAAGGCACTCCTCCAAATTAGGAGACATTATCCCAATCGGTATTATATGGTGTTCATTTCTTAGAGAAATTTTCTATGTGTCAACAAATTATGTTGATATATTGGGAGAATATCTCTCCATCAGGAGACTTTTACATATTTAATATTTTTTGTCCGGTATAAACTCACAAACAAACAAAAAATGTCTCTATATGGAGTTGATTGTCCCACGTACATTTGTCTCCCGATCTTGTGAATTCTCCTTATTCACAGAGAGTCTTCATATCCGAGAAAATTACCTTGCTGGTAATTTATACCAGGATTATATGTTGAAACCTAAGACGTACACATTAAAAAGCAAGAGTTGTTCACACAGTTGAAGTACTAACGACTTTACTGCATCTATGAAGTAATCGGAAAGGCGATTCTGTAGCACCAGTTCTGTAGCAGTGTCACCACGTTAAACTGATGTTCTGTGTGTACATAATTTGTAATATCATATAGTATGTGCAATTTTCATGAATCTCAAAAGTTTTACATTGTTTGCCATCTTGCTGTTCAGTCTAAATTCTCTTACATCAATCTGTACAATAATCTAACATGTTATACCACATCTAACTCAATAAAAGCGTTATTGCCCCCTTTGTGTTGTTTATGTACCATCCGTTTGCATCACATCTTTCAACTTACCAGTATTTGTCGTCCTTTATAAATGTATTTTACAGCGCGCACGCTACCACACTCAAACAAAATTGCGCCCTCATTCAAATTGAGCCTCGTTCAAGAGATTTACGCATGATTTTAATTCGAGTGTGATAATATGTGTTGTAAAATTCATACAATTCCCACGCCATCTATTAATCTTTAGTTAGATTAAGTAAAAATGCAAATAATGAGAAGTATGAGAGTTATTGTAAAATTATTATACAATCTACTGTGACCGAGGTTGTACAAGTTGCAAGCATTCGAGATATCAACATTCAACATGGCAGCAGGCATGGGAGAAGGTGTCCACAGCGAACGTGAGAGCGGAAGAGCACATTTGTCAAAACATCTCATGCAGATGAAGGTAATGTGATTTGTATTACATTAATGATGTAGATCGTTGTGTACCCTTAACGTAGGAAGAATTTTTTCAATATTTTGCGCTCTCGCCTTGCCCCGGTCGATGATCTTTTTTGTTTCCCCATGGTGCCACAAACCGGCTTCGAGCCTTATTCAGCCTATGCAGTGTCTAACGAGGGCTGGCGAAATTCTATGTAATATTTTAGCGAGTGTACCCTATATATCATATCATGGATATATTGCTATCGCAACAGGAGATCGCGGCGTGTGCGGTGAATGTAGATAAATTCCGTGCTAGACTGCAAGTGCAGGCAGCGTATATACAAAATGTAGCTCTATGGCACAATGTAAAATAATTTAAAATAAATGTACTATACCTACCAACCTTTCAAAAAAAACAGGATAGTGACAATTATAAAAAACATAATGTAATATGTTCAATTAATTAATTTGCTTAGTATATTAAAAAATGTTCCAAATGCTAATGTGGTAGTACAATTAGTTGAATTACACTGATATAACCTACTTAGTTTTGTAAGTTATTTATTTTGGCAGTTTATTTTCGCAGACCGATTTCTGTGCATAGGTACAGTGTAGCTGCAGTGAAATTTTTTTTATTCCTTCAGTGATTATTGGCAGTGGTGTAATTCACTGAAGATTGCAAACTTACGTTCATACATTCTGTCCACAATACATAAAATGAGGGTGAAACATGATTTCTTTTAAAAACTTGCTTAGTGCACTTCTATTACATTACGTCCATCTGTATATGTACTTATATTATATATTTCTATGATGACTGTTTCGCTATAACTTTCGAGACTATGAATTTTCACGATTTAAGAATTTACTAAGATACTGTATGTTATAGGGCCCAAGGGAAATTTTCTCTGCTGTAAAATTTTGTGATTTCCACTAAGTTATGAAATTAGTACTACGGTAGTATTAGTCAACAGCATGTGAACTTTTTTGGTTCACTGTCAATATGTTTTTGTTGTTGAAAAAAACAGTAAAATAATACAAATAAAATGCGATGTCATTTTAGCAGCGGTTTCCATAAACTACCGGGACAATGAAAAAACATTTTCTTGATAAAACCCACTAAAAATATTGTGAATTTTTTAATACTTTTAAACATCAAAAATTACCTTGTCATCGAGCAAAATTTTGAGATATTTTTGTTCTAATATTTACGAAATGTACTAGCCACAACAACATGTTTGAATTACAAGTTTGAAAAAAAGTTGATATAATAAGAAATCTGTCAATCTTTTGGATTAAAATTATATTTTGCTTACATTAGATTTCTTTTAATATAAATTTAAAAAATATTTTTACAAAACATTCTCCCTGAAAGACCCTCATGCTTCATTGAAATTCAAAGATAGCCTGACGAGAATTGTACCCTCCACGGTGCTCCAAACCCAACACATGCCTGACAGAACGATGTAGCTTTTCACTTCCCCTACGATTTTTTGTCGGTACCAATCAAATTGCAGGAACGTTAGATAGTGACAGCCATTGAAGAATAAAGAGTTTATTTCCGCCCAATGTTTGTCATCTTGCTGAAACCAGTTAGATTTTTGCAAACACAGCTTTGATCACCCAAATTCATTGCAAGAAGGTGTGAACTTTGCTAATTCGCAGTATTGATCTTTCCAACGAGACATACTCTACCGTATTCTGTCAGGCGTTAGTGAGGTCTGATACTGTTCGGCCGGCGAGGGCCTACTCACGCCTACATGTTAGGCTAATCCAAATAGTATGCTTTTATTGGCAAAGAAGGCATTTGAAAATGCCCATTACCCATGAGCCCTTGCAGGTTCCCTTCAATCATTGGTCGATTTACTATCCTGAATCTGTTGTGATTGATCAAGTTGTTTTTATTCGTCATTTGAAATTAAATATTCATATAAAATACATTTACATCTTCAAGAAAATCACTGTAGAGTCAGTAAAAAAAGCTATTTTCATTAAAATGTTGTTTTGACTCCTTGTTGACTATTTATGTTGCAAATTTATAGAAATACTAAATTAAGGTAAAATCCCTGTTTGGAAATTATATAGCAGGGTGTAGGTATTTTAAAACCAGACTGCTTTTATCAAATAAAATTTGACAAAATTGCAATTTAATTTATTCAATAATATATACTTCCCTTGTGGAAGGGAGTATGTTATTGTGAAAGCTTATCTGATGGCTGTTTTCGACCATGAAATCAACGTATCAATTACTTTCTGAGAATAACAGCCCTTGACAGTGTCTACAAACAAATCAATCAGCTGTCAATACTGTATAGAGTGTACTGTGCATAAAGGAAGCAATTGTATACATGTATATATTTTTATTTTATCAAAATTTCATGTACAAAAAATGTTTTGTTTTCCATATTGTAACTTTGAATATTAAATGCTGTTTTTATCATTTTGAATTAAGATTTAAAGTGGAATAAAATTATGGATAATTCTCAAAGGCCACTGAAGCATATAATGATTGTATTACTTCAAGCTTTGCAGTGTGTTGCCATGCATATGTACTTGTCACAACAACATTGCTCTGTTTACTTGACGACCTTCTTGAGATATCTCCTCAAATTGAGAACCAGCATTGATTTTTATTCTATACGTAATATGAGAAGTAATTATGTCCCTTTTTCCCCAAACACTTCAATCAAAATAACAAGACACTCTCAAAATGAATTATGATAACTGCATGCTGAATAATCTCCATCTGCAATTATCCATATAAGTAATATTTTATTACTTGGGCTATTGTTATACATTACTAGCCATCTCAGTTACATGTTTACATAAATCATTGGAAACTCTGGATTTTAATTTATATATATTGAGAGATAAGTTCTCTTTGCCAGAATAGTACATGTACCTTGCTTTAGGCCAAATAAAAAAAATGTTGTGATTTCTGCTTTTCAATAATAGATTAGGTAGGCACATGTAAGATTATTTTTTTCTATATACACGTCTTTGTTTCTGGTTATAACTGCGTTTTATTTTCTGTCTTGCATACAAGCACTGCTTTGTCATACAAGTGTCATAAATCATATTTACAGTAATTACCCCGGTAATGCTGTACACAGTTTTGCAAAGTTTTGAAATTTCATAATATTCTTCCAAAGTCTTACACATTTTTGTGATGTTTTCCCCGATATGTTAAAAAAAAGTTAAGGGTCTGTCAGGCAGTAAAAATAGTATTAGTTGGGTTATGGGAACCACAAAATTTTTTTTCTCTTGGCCTCACCTTACTCTCTTTCTAAATGTTCTTTTTAGAGGTAATTGTAATTTCCCCTACATGCATTAGGGTAAATCATTATATTGATGTGACAGTGTGTTTCATCTTCTGGAGATATTTATAAAAATAATGTTGTTTAATTAAGAGAGCACACAATTTGATTAAAATAAGATCCTAGTTTGGGCTTTATTTTTGACTCCCGTGTGCGAAGCACAAAAACGGAGTCTTTGCAGTTAGTGTGTCTGTATGTGTGTGTGTGTGTGTGTGTGTGTGTGTGTGTGTCCGCCTGTTCCACTGATATCTCAAGAACCATACATCAGTTTTTGATGAAACTTGGTGCATAGATGCTCTGGGCCAATGCGCAGATTTGATAAAAATCCATGCATATTAATTACCTAATTTGCATGATAATTAGCTGATTTTTAGCTGTTCCATGACTGTTCCACTGATATCTAAAGAACCACTCATTGGATTTTGATGAAACTTGGCACACAGATGCTCCAAACTAATGCACAGATTTCATTAGTTTGGGGTAAAAATCTGTCCAATATTAATTACCTAATTTGCATAATGATTAATCAATTTTCGGCTTTTCCACTGATATCTCAGGTACTAATCATCACATTTCAATAAAACTTGGTACATAGATGTCATAGGACACTGCACAAACCTCATAGTTTTTAGGGTAATATCAGTAGATATTAATTACCTAATTAGCATAATTAATTAATTTTCAGCTTTTGATATTTCAAGTAGTAATTGTCACATTTCAATGAAACTTGGTACATAGATGTCATAGGACACTGCACATACATGATAGTTTTTAGGGTAATATGAGTACATATTAATTACCTAATTTGCATAATTAATTAATTTTCAGCTTTTGATATTTCAAGTAGTAATCATCACATTTCAATGAAATTTGGTACATAGATGTCATAGGACACTGCACAGATCTGATAGTTTTTAGGGTAATATGAGTACATATTAATTACCTAATTTGCATAATTAATTAGTTTTCAGCTTTTGATATATCAAGTAGTTATCATCATATTTCAATGAGACTTGCTACATAGATCTTCTAGGATTATGCTTGATTAGTTTTAATTGGATATTAATTACCTAATTTGCATAATGTTCCACTGATATATAAAGAACCACAAATTGGATTTTAATGAAACTTTTAAAGAGAACTATGCAGAAACCAAATTTTTTGTAAATATTATGATTATTAATCACCTAATTAATATAATTAATTAACACTGATATCTCAATTACTGATCATCACATTTGAATAAAATTTGGTGCATAAATGCTCTAGGACAATAGACAGGCCTGATTAATTTTGGGTTAAAATTTGTTCATATTAATTCTCTAATTAGCATAATAATTCATAATTTTTTTGTTCTGTTCTGTTCATATTAGTTACCTGATTTACATAATTAGTTTTCAGCTTTTCCATCAATATCTCATGTACAAGTAATTTTAAATTAATTTTTAATGTGTCTTCAATACTCTCAGCACACGGGAGTTCTTTTTAAGCTTTCTTTGATTTTTATATTTTTATAATATTTTTTCTTTTGTTTTACATTTGTATATGACTTGATTTTATTTAAATTTATTATTTATTTGCTGGCAGTTTTTTAAAAGTTTTGATAATTGTGAAAGCCCACAAGGAATTAACCCAATTGTCACACACAACGTAATATTACCGTAATTGATATAGTACAGGTGTGATGGTTCAAATACCAAAATGG